CTGCTGCAGCAGTTGTAAGTGTAAGGACCAGTAAGTCATTTTTTAAAAAAAACCTATTGTGTCAAAGTGTACTTACATGTACTTAAGCAGTACTGTTGTAACTTCGAACAGTTGCTAAATAAATGGTTGTAAATCAAAGACTACCTGTATACACAGTGTGGTTGTAGTGTTGGTTTAGCTAACGCAGAAAGGAGCACGACGGCTCAAGTGGTTGGAACCCTGGGCAGGAGGTTAGCAAGCCCACATTTGAAACCCGAGAGCTGCTATGGGGCAGGGTTGAGCTCTCTCAACCCTCCAGTTCCTGTTGAGGGCATGAAAGGAGCCCCAGCTGGGCATCCCCAGGACAACAGTGATCCTTTCGACTAGGAAGAGTCTCTGTGCTTCTGACATGAGTACAAAAGCTAACACAAAGTGTAGACAAACACAAGTAAGTGTCAGATTGAGAAGCATAAAGGATCTAGTCAAAGAAATCAGAGATATTATATGAAGCTCTAACCTCATCCATGTCATAAGAAACAGGCATAGAAAGGAGTTAATGATGGAATATAATGTTTAAAAAAATGGAATGAATACATGGAAATTAGGCAAGAAGACTACCAGGTGATATATTTGAAAGAGAATGCAAGCATGCATCGTTACAGTGTCTAGACCAGGGGTAGGCAACCTCGGCTCTTTTATGACTCGTGGACTTCAACTCCCAGAATTCCTGAGCCAGCCATGCTGGGAATTCTGGGACTTGAAATCCACAAGTCATAAAAGAGCCAAGGTTGTCTACCCCTGGTCTAGACCATCGGTGTCCAACCTTTTGGCTTGCCTGGGCCACACTGAGTAAAGAGGTCTTGAGCTACATGTAAAATATATATTTGTTTATTTATGTATTTATTTAATTTATATGGTTGCCCACCTCAGTCAATGACTCTGGATGGCTTACAATTCAAGTTGTAATATAGGTAACGTATATAAATCACATAATAATATTAAAAAATTATGATCTTGTGGGGCCACATTACTAGTTGTCCAGGGCTGCCATGTGGTCTGTGGGCCACAGGTTGGATACACCTGATCTAGATGGAAGTTGTACCCTTTGTGGAAATCAACTACTTTGAGTTATGATGATGGAAAAGGCTACTTCATATTCCTTGGACAGCCATAAGAAATCGTAGGCGCTCCATCACTGGAGATTTTTAAGAAAAGGCTAGACTGTCACCTGTCTGAGATGGTGTAGGTCAGTGATGGCGAACCTTTTAGAGACCGAGTGCCCAATCTGCAATCTAAAACCCACTTATGTATCGTCGGGTGCCGGGTGGGCATGGCCAATTGGGTGGGTTTGGCAATTGGATGGGTGTGGCCAATTGGGTGGGCATGGTCTATTGGGTGGGCGCGGCTGCCGTGATAACGGCAGACTGGGTGGGACTAAAAAGTTCAATCAATCAATTCCAACTTTGCGAGATCATATTTTTCCCTGCGAGAAGTTGAAATTGACTTGATTGATTGAACCTTTTTTTTTTTTTTGCACACGGAAGCGTGCCATAGGTTCGCCACCACGGGTATAGGTTCTCCTGTTGAGCAGGAGGCTGGATTAGAAGATTCCCAGGGTCCCTTCCAGCTCTATTTTATTCAAGAATAAATTCTTCAGTGCTAGAGTAAATCAAGCCAGAATGCTCCCTGGTAGCATAGAATCATAGGGCTGGAAGGCCCATTAGAGCTCTTCTAGTCCAACCCCTGCCCAAGGCAGAAGTCCTTATTCCACCCCAGAGAAATGGTTGTCCAATCTTTTCTTGAAAACCTCCAGCGATAGAGCACCCATGGTGCATGAATCATGAAACAAAGGATATCATATTTGGAGCACATGAGCTGGGCTCATGTTTCTATAGAAAAGGTAATCAAATTGGGGAAGATGGATAGAAGGAGAAGAGACCAATAGCGTATAAGAAAAACAGAGTTACAGAAATGTACCTGCAAAAATTGCTTAGTATGGTGAGAGACAGGACAACCTGGAGAACTTTTATCCGTAGAATCAGCAGGAGCTGGCTATGACTCAGTGGAGCATAATAACAACAGATGCCAGCAATGAATTTTCTTTGTTATTAGTTCTTGTTGAAATGCAAAAGAAAGTTTAAAAGGAATTTTATACACAGAATGTTCTGATTCATCAGTGGCCGAATTGAAGCTTCCCCCCTCCCCTCAATTAGGGTGCTGTGACACTATGACTCGTATTCAGTATTATAGCTCCCTCTTTTGGTAAGAAAAAAACCCCCATGTATTGTGTGTTTTGTATTTATTTTTTTCCAGAAGTCGTACTTATTTTGTTGCTAAAAACTGACACTGACTTGATGGTATGTTGTATCTATCAATCTATATAAAATGTGCTTGTGTCTGTAGGTATCCACAAAGAGAGATACAATAAATTTTCTTCTTCCATCATTTCCAAAAGAAAAATTCAGCTGCAATTTTCTTTTTCCCAGTAAGAGAGGGGATTTAATACTAAAAAAGTACTCTTGACTTACAAGTAGTCCTTGATTTACAACCATTAGTTTAGTGACTGTTTGAAATTACAACAGCAATGACAAAAAATACTTATGACTTTTTTTTTCTTACTTACCACCAATGCAGCATCCCATGGTCACATGATCAAAATTCAGATGCTTGGCAACTGGTTCATATTTATGATACTAGCAGTGTCCCGGGGTCATGTGATCCCCTTTTGCGATCTTCTGACAAGCAAACTCAATGAGGAAGCCAGATTCAGTTAACAACCATGTTACTAACTTAACAACTGCAGTGACTTACTTAATAACGGTGCAAGAAAGGTTGTAAAATGGGGCAAAACTCACTTAACAACTGTCTCACCTAGCAACAGAAATTTTGGGCTCAGTTGTGGTTGTTAAGTCAAGGGCTACCTGTATAGTTTTCTCTACTTACACTCTTCCCCCAAATCACTGCAGCTTTTTGTTTTGCACACTAAGGTGAAAAAAAGAGAGACCTAGAATATCTCATTTAAATATGAATAGGGAAATAGGTTAGAAAGGACATCTCAGACTGCATCACACATTCCCTCCCCTGGGCCTACATCTTTGCAATGATTTCTCAGGCATTTGAATATCCTGATTCTGGGTTGCATAATATACTTAACCAGATCAGTTCAAAACTTTGCAGTTGCACTTTTTAAAATTTTACTATATATACTAAATCAGTTTATGTGGCTGCCCAACTTGCAAATATGACTCTGGGCAACTAACAATGTAGTAGAACAGTAGAAAAAAATGAAATATCAGCAAAAAAATTAAAAAGGTACAGTAAGTCAGCAAGAACAAATTAAATACACACTCAACAGTACCAATAGCATCTTCACAGCCATCTAACCTTAATGTCAACTTAATGTTTGTGGTTTGGATAGACAGATCTATGTATTCAGGTTATATTGATGTTTTTAACTGTTGGTTAGGAGCCACCTAAAGATCAATACAAGACGGACAATTATATAAATGTGTTGAATAAATAAATACCTCCAAACTCCAAACTCTGGTTATAGAACACCATGGTTTGTTTGTTTGTTTTTTCTTTCTGTGGCCTAACATGTTGCACAATTGTTGCCTGTTTGTTTTATGAGTTAGTGCAATGTGTCTGCATAGAAAATGGGTTAATTTAAGAGTGGGTCATAGCTGGCCTAGTCTCTGTGACACTCTTGGTTTTTGCTTTTCTGGTGTTAGGAATTCTCCATTAAAATTTGAAGATGAGCAACAGAGTTTTTCCTGTTGGAGAATTCTGGAATTCCCAGTGGCACAAAACGTTTTGCTCAGCCCTTCCATCTGTGGTATTTTCCAGCCACAATGAGAGTTCAGCTCCTAGAATTCCCAGGCAGTTTAAGGGCTTGTAGTTTTTGCAGAGAGACTGGAGACTGGAGACTAGCAGACTGGAGAAATACCTATTCCAGTTGATCATGCTTGTGATTTACCCAGAAATCTACTCCATCTTTAAGATGTGTGGACTTCAACTCCGAGAATCCTCCTGCCAGCATGCTAGATAGGGATTTTTGGCAGTTGGAATCCTCATACTTTAAACTTCAATTCTAAGGTTGAGAATCACTGGCATAAAGGGGGAAACTGTCTAATACAAGAAATGTTCTGCTTTTTCCGTCTCCTTTGAATTCTGATTGAGGATCAGATATAAGATAGAAACGGTGCCTGAGAAAATATAGAAAAATAATACATGCTGTAAGAAGAAGAAAAAATTTCTCCCAAACTTAGAGGTTTGGATTCAGCTCAGTATTATTTGTGTTTCCACTTCTTAAGTAACATGAGAGGGAAAATGGTACTTACCAACATACTGTACTTGTAGACAATAGGAGGTCCTTGAAATCTATACATTCATGCTCATACATACGTATATGACTTATTGATGGCTTAAGAGGGTAAAGGATTTTTAAAAAGGATTTAAAAAAATACTCTAGAAAAACAAAGGATAATCCCACTCACTGCCAAGGATCTCTAGTTCTTTATGGATAACCCTCAATTTACAACTATTTGTATAGTGATTATTCAAAGTTACAGCAGCATTGAAAAAATTGATTTATGACCATTTTTCACACCTACAACCATGGTCATGTGAACAAAATTTGAACATTTGGCAACTGGTTCATATTTATGATGTTTGCAGTGTCCTGGTGTCATATGAACACTTTTTGTGACCTAACAAGCAAAGTCAATGGGGAAGCCAAATTCACTTAACAATTGTGTTACTAACTTAACAGCTGCAGTGATTCACAACAACTGTGGCAAGAAAGGATGTAAAATGGAGCAAAATTAACAATTAACAATTGTCTTGCTTAGCTAGGAAATCTGGGGCTCAGTTGTGTTTGTAGGTCAAGGACTCACTGTATTTCAAAGAGCCAGGCTGTTGTAGTCCTCCTAAGAACAATGCCCAGGTTTTGTTCTTGACTTAGCATCAATGTTCAAAGAAAATCAATGCACCAGGAAAATAATTCAACTTTTTCTTTTTAGAAATTCGGGAAGCTTTCCGAGTCCTGGACCGGGATGGCAATGGCTTCATTTCCAAGCAGGAACTGGGAATGGCCATGCGCTCTCTGGGATACATGCCTAGCGAGGTGGAACTGGCAATTATTATGCAGCGGTTAGACATGGATGGTGAGTCTTTCCGTTCTTCTCATAGTTTTTGCTGTAGGAGAATGTGCTGGTTGCTAGCTGGCTTCCAGGTGCAATTTGAGGTGTCTATTTAACCCAGTGATTCTCAACCTTTTTAATGCCGCGACCCCCAACTGGTTGTAAGTCGAGGACTAAACTGGTCGTAAGTCGAGGACTAAACCAGTCGTAAGTCGAGGATTACCCAACCGGTCGTAAGTCGAGGACTTTCCCTGCCCGGGAGCGCCGCGCATGCATGGTTCCGCCCCCTGCGCCAGCCGAGGCGTAGCTGGCAAGCGGCAGAGACGGAGCAGGCCGACCACCAGCTGGCCCAGCTCAAGGGAGGTAAGGCACCCACCGGAAAAGGGGAAAAAATGGCGGACAGCCTTGCTTGGTGACCCCCGTGAAATGGTCGATCGACCCCAAATGGGGTCGCGACCCATAGGTTGAGAACCGCTGATTTAACCCTTTCATGGCACAGAGCCAGGTTATTTACAGGACTGTTTGCAATAAACTCTGCTTATCCAGTAAGATCTGACAAGCTCCAGACCCTGTCACTCAAGCAGTATGACCTGGTGGGACCCAGGAGATGTGCCTTCTCTATCACTGGAAGCATTTCCCCAAGACCCAGATGGCCCTGACTCCCCCTGTCTCTCTTTCTAAACCTTTCATGACTTCCCTTTCCTCCTCAGTCCTTGAGTCAGGAGGATTTGTGGTTCCATCCAAAGTGATTATTGACCTATTGAATCGCTTTGGTGGATTCTCTTCTACACGTTTTATTATATTTCATTTCTAGTTCAATCTTGTTTTTATTTTAATAATAAGATGCCCAGAATCATTTTGGAAAGGCAAGTATAGTAAATTGACTATCCAGGTAAATCAGCAAGCAAACCTCAAAGCCATTTTTAGACATTGAAAGGATGGGCTGCCAATACTTTGTATGGGGGTATGTCTATAGAGTGGTGGCTCAGCAGTTAAAGATGTTGAGCTTGTCAGCTGGAAAGCTGACAACCTGGGTTCAAGACCCGATCAGTGCATGACAGTGTGAGCCCCCGTTACTTGCCCCAGTTCCTGCTCACCTAGTAGTTCAAAAGCATGCAAATGTGAGTGGATAATTATGTACCGCTTTGGTGGGAAGGTAACAGCATCCCATGCACCTCGATCTGTAGTCATGCTATTCACATTATCACAGAAATGTATTTGGACAATGTTGACTCCTTCAGCTGAGAAACGGAGATGAGCACACTGTCTCCTAGAGTCGGACATGACTGGACAGGGAAAACCATTATCTTTACCTTTATGTCTACATACAAACAGACAATGGTTTAAGTTAAAAGTGTAAAAGTATCCTGGGAAGTATCACAAAGGCTGCCATTTTCTATGGAGGCTCTTATGATGCTCTCAAAATTCCAACAATGGCCAATAGGTTTGGGAGAAAAAGTTTATTTGGATGCCAAATGAGGTAACTTTCTGTGAAAAGATGCAGAATAGTAAATCTTCAAACAAGTGAAATATGAGTGGCTGAGTGCATTTGCTTGCCTATATCTTCATTGCTTTCACCTGCATGAAATTGTATTGAAAGGGTGTCTGAAGTGTCCATGTTTTTATTATGTCCTTATTCTATTTGAAGAAGTGTCTCTGTTGCACCTAACAATCTTCTTCTAAGCCCTTCACCAGATGTTCTTATCAAAGAGCAGGTAACTCATTGATAAGAGAGCCTTTTCAATAGCACTGTGATAGCCCTCCCTTGACATCTTCATTGTGATGAATACGTTGTTTTATTGTGAATGCTCCAACACTGGAAGTTTTTAAGAAGAGACTGGACAGCCATTTGTCCGAAATGGTGTAGGGTTCCTGCCTGAGCAGGGACCTCCAAGGTCCCTTCCAACCTCCTCCTCCTCCTCCTCCTCCTCCTCCTCCTCCTCCTCATTATTATTATTATTATTATTATTATTATTATTATTATTATTATTATTATTATTATTATTATTATTATTATTATTATTATTATTATTATTATTATTATTATTATTATTATTTATTTTCCAAGGTTCTTTTTAGAATTACTGGTTATTTACTATTGGTCCTTTTACATGCTGCCCTATTGTTAAAGTAAATGGATCTTATTTCTATTATGCACTGTTTTTATTATGTTATACAGTATTGTTTCTGTTACCCAACATTCAGAAAAGTGTGGTTTGTAGGCATTCTATTACAGGCAATCCTCGACTTATTACAGCTTGTTTAATGACCGTTTGAAGTTATAATAGCATGAAAAAAGTGACATGATCATTTTTTACATTTACAACCATTGTGGCATCCTTATGATCTTGGGACACTCTATTTATTTATATTTGTGACAGTTGTACTATTCCTGGGTCATATGACCACTTTTTGTGACCTTCTGACAAGCAAAGTCAATGGGAAAGCCAAATTCACTTTACAACTGCTAATAACTTAACGATTGCAGTGAATTACTTAACAACTGTGGCAAGAAAGGTTGTAAAATGGAGCAAAACTCAAATAATAAATGTCTCACTTAGCAACAGAAATTTTAGATTCAGTTGTGGTCATAAGTTGAGGATTACCTGGAATGTAATAAATAAAGTAAATCTGATTTCTACCTATATTAAATTCTGTTAGCCATTCAGTATGGCAAGAAGATTGGCAGGTAGGATGTACATTTCCCCTTCTGTTCTCTCCTTCAGTATAGAGTCAGAGGCAAGAATGTTACACTGATAACATCATTTTGTCTGTCTGTGTGTGTGTGTGTGTGTGCGCGCGTGTGTGTGTACCTTCAAATCAGCATTGATTTTTTTGGCAATTACATGCAGTTGTCTGTGCAATTTTCTTGTCATGTTTTCAGAAATGTTTGCCCTTGCCTTCTCTCTGAAAGAGAGAGTGATTGGCTGAGATTTACTAAACTGGCTTCCAGTTCAGTGCAGGATGTAGAATTTATAATCTCTGAGATTTAGTCCATTGTATTTAAAACTACAGAAATTATCTGAAAGTTTTTTTTTTTCTGTACTAATCTGTCTAGATGCTGAGTACAGGCAGTTCTCGACTTACAACCACACAATGAAGCCCAAAATTTCTGTTGCTATGTGAGGCATTTATTGGGTTTTGAACCATTTTATGATCTTTCTTGCCAAAATTGTTAAGTGAATCACTGCAGTTGTTAAGTTAGTAACAAGTTGTTAAATGAATTTGACTTTCCCTTTGATTTTGCTTGTCAGAAGGTCATGGAAGGTGCTCACATGACCTTGGGACACTGCAACCATAATAAAAAAGATGTTGAGACTCTAGAAAGAGTACAGAAAAGAGCAACAAAGATATTAGAGGACTGGAGGTTAAAACATATAAGGAACGGTTGCTGGAATTGGGTATGTCTAATTTAATGAAGAGAAGGACGAGGGGGGACATGATAGCAGTGTTCCAATATCTCAGGGGCTGCCACAAAGAAGAGGGACTCAAGCTATTCTCCAAAGCACCTGAAGGCAGCACAAGAAGCAATGGATGGAAACTAACCAAAGAGAGAAGCAATCTAGAACTAAGGAGAAATTTCCTGACAGTTACAATAGAACAATTAATCAGTGGAACAACCTGTCTCTAGAAGTTATGAATGCTCCAACACTGGAAGTTTTTAGGAAGAGACTGGACCACCATGTGTCTGAAATGGCATAGGGTTTCCTGCCTGAGCAGGGGGTTGGACTAGAAGACCTCCAAGGTCCCTTCCAACTCTATTATTGTTGTTGTTGCTGTTGTTGTTACCAACCATCTGAATTTTGAACATGTAACCATGGGGACACCACAACAATCGTAAGTGTGAAAAACGATCATAAGTCACTTTTTTCAGTGGTGTAACTTCGAACAATCACTAAACAATGTGCTGTAAATCGAGGATTACCTGTACATATGTACATATTCTCTTTAATGGGCCTTTGTTACCTTTACAAGAATATATGATTCTTTTATGAAATAAATTAATAGTTTGAGATGGGATAGTGGGATATATTGGGTCATTATTTCCTGCAGTTTATCTGCACACTAAGCCTGGATGTATAATAATGTGCTAAATTGGATCGGGAGAATTGGGCAAAGAAGAATTGGATATTTCCCATCTTTTACTATTTTCCCAGTTGTAAGTATAAACAGAAGTATCTATTCTAATAATTTTTAACTGCCAAGAAAGGGTAGCACAGCCGCTTCCAAACTGTTAAGCAAAGAGCCCAGATTGTTGAATCCAGGAAAGTGGTGTCTTCCTCTAACTTTTAAATAATCCACATTTCCAAAGAATTCTTAAAGAATAAGCTTTTTTCAACTATCACAAGAAACAAAGCAATGAAGATAAGTAAGTGTTGGGAAACACCCAGCCAGGTAAGGAGGAGGGATCAAGTGGGGAACTAGCCTTGAATCTTTGCACAGCCAGAAGAAGCATAAGCTTGACACACACACACCATTCCCCCAAGTTCCATGAAACTTGTCTGTTTTTTCCCAAGGGAAGACAAGCAGTCTGGGGAAAATTCCTGTACTACAGGTAGAACACAGTAAAATAGTCAACTCGATCCTTTCACATATGGTTCTGGTTGCTTGTGCCTAACAGTGAGTCAGGGAGAAAGAGGTTATAAAGGGGACAAAATACTCAGCTTTACAATCCCTTCAGTAAATATTTAGGCTAGTGTTAGCCTGGCATCTGTTCACTGATATCCAGAAATTTAAATTTGTCCTATTGGTGCAGATTGTAAAAGGTGTACAGATAATCCTCAAGTTACAACCATTTGTTTAGTGACCTTTTGAAGTTGCAGTGGTGCTGAACAAATGAGACTTACCCCTTGTCCCCAAAGGTGTGACCATTGCAGTGCCCCTGTGGTCATGTAATTAAAATTCAGGCGCTTGGCAATCATCTACTCTTACAATCGTGGGGATGTTTCAACTCCACCCATCCACCCACCTATCTCCCTCCAATCTCTGCTCTTTGGGCCCCTGCATTCTGCAGCCCCTGCCAC